TGTGTGTGGTGTGTCTCTGTGTCTGTGAGTGGGCATGTGTGTGGTGTCCCTGGGTGTGTGGTTTGTGGTGTGTGTGCATGTGTGGTGTATCTGTGTGTGGTGTGTGTGTGTGTGTGTGGTGTGTCTGTGTGTGGTTGTCTCTGTGTCTGGGTGTGTGTGTGTGGTGTGGTGTGTGTGTGTGTTGCTGAGGATTGAACCCAGAGCCTTGTACATGGAAGGTAAGCACTCTACCAGCTGAGCTATATCCCCAGCCTCCATCCTAGTCCTTTTTATTATTTTGAGAGTAGGTTTTGCTAAGTTGCTGAGGATCTTTTAAGATGCTGAGGTTGGCCTCAAACTTGTGATCCTCCTGCTTTTAGCCCCCCAACTTGCTGGGATTATAGGAGTGCACCACTATTCCAGACTTGATTTACTTTGAGCTAGTCTCACTAAAATTGCCCAGGCTGGGCTGGAATTTGTCATCCTCCTGCCTCAGCCTTATGAGTAACTGGGATTAAAGATATGTGCCACAGGTCAGCTGAAGCAGATTTTCTTATGGCCCTATTTTCAATCTTTTGTAAACTGATATGCATTATAAAATACTCATGAAGTATTAAAGTCATGCAGTATTTCCTAATGTTACCTGATAGTAAAGCTTTTTTAAAAGAATATCTGTCTAACACCAGTGAGGAATTCACTGAAGAAAGACCAACAAAGCTTGAAATGACTTGGCCCTTCACTGTATAACCCAAGATACTACCACTTTTTCAAAGTTTTTTCCACCAGCAATTTCTCAGTCATCCAATCAATGCCATTTCCCCCTACCTACCTTTGTCAATTTCAGCGATACCATTGATCATTCCCTCCATGAAAAGCAGAGCAATGATGTGGTTAAGACCTGAAAATCTTTAGCCGCTTCTAGTCCTCTCCAGCTGCCATTGAAGATATCCAACCAGTCTGCTAGAGAGCATCACCCATTCAATACACCCCAGCTGAGGAGCCAGATGGTCCAGTCCCAGATGAGCTCCCAGCTGAACACAGTTGACTACCAAGGACTACCACGTAAAGCAGAATAATCTCCTAGGTAAACCCAGCCATCCCACAAAATCAAATATGACTTTTGAGTTTACTGGCTTGCAGTACTAGGCATTGAATCCTGGGGCAAAAACACCACTATCTACATCCTCAGTATTTTTTATAATCATTTATTTGTTGTGGGGGGTACTGGGAATTGACCCCAGGGACATTTTGCCACTGAGTGATATCCCCAGCCCTTTTTAATTTTTTTCAGGGCCTTGTGCATGCTAGGCAAGTGCTCTGCCACTGAGCTAGATCCCCAACCTCCCCCCGCTTTTTTTTGAGAGAAAGAGAGAGAAAGAATTTTAATATATATATATTTTTAGTTTCAGCGGACACAACATCTTTGTTTGTATGTGGTGCTGAGGATCGAACCTGGGCCGCACGCATGCCAGGTGAGCGCGCTACCGCTTGAGCCACATCCCCAGCCCCCAACCTCCCTTTTTAACTTTTTATTTTGAGACAGGTTGTCAACAAGTTGCTGAAAGACCTTGAACTTGCAATTCTCCTGTCACCGCCTCTAAGATGCTGGAAAAACGTGAGTGCCACAGCATGCAAATATCTTTAGATACATAAACAACATACCAGCTGTGGTGGCACGCATCTATAATTCAAGCCCAGCTTTGGCAACTTGGTAAAACCCTATCTAAAAAAAAGGGCTCCAGGGCTGGGGATGTAGCCCAATGGTACCCCTGTGTCGAATCCTCAATGCTGCAAAGTAAACAACAGTAGCAACCTACTATCCTCAAAGACCATACATTGAAGAAATATGTCAGCCCAAACTAGGAATTATTATTATTTGGTAATAAATGCCTAAAGAGAAATTGTGATTTCCACACATCAATAAAGATCAATTTCCAACCCTCAACAGGTGGAACCATGCTAGACACTAAGCGGTACACTCACTGGTTTGTAAGTTCTCAAATGTGGCTGATAGAAAGGAAGCCAGCATGCTGAGGATTGACAGACTGGGGCGGGGCTCGGTGGGATAGGGCACAAAAAAACTCCAGCACACCCCACAATAGGTGTCAAACGGAAGTTCCGGCTTCTCAGCGGAAACAGCATTTTTTCTGAGCCGCGGCCTCGTGTTGAAGCAATTATTTGACGAGAGCTTCTTCGTCTTCGGCTACTGATAAGTAGACCTTGTCAACAGATTGAAATGGCGCTATCCAAACACGCCATTCCTTCATTGTCCGAATACCAGTGCCAGATATGTCTGGAAATTCTAATAGAACCTGTGACTCTGCCTTGTAACCACACGCTGTGTAAGCCGTGCTTCCTGTTGACCCTGGAAAACGCGAATTTATGCTGTCCTTTCTGTCGCCTCCGGGTATCTTCATGGACTCGGTACCATACTCGAAGAAATTCTCTTGTCAATATGGAACTGTGGGAGATGATTCAAAAACACTACCCAAAGGAATGCCAGCTGAGAATTTCTGGGCAAGAATCAGAGAAAGAAGTTGAAGACTACCAACCAGTTCGCGTGTTAAGTACTCCCGGGGAACTGAGAAAAGAATATGAAGAGGAAATGAGCAAGATGGAGGCAGAGCGCCGGGCCCGGGAAGAAGAGGAATGCAAAGCTAGTGAAGAATACATACAGAAATTGTTGGCAGAGGAGGAGGAGCTAGAGAAAAAGACAAGACGGAGGCGAAGTAACCTGGACTTGAAAGAGCAGGAACAGGCAAGAAACCTAAGCGCCAACAGTTCCTCTGACGGAAGTATCTTGGCTTCTCCTCTGAATTCTGCAGAATCTGAACCAGTTGCAACAAAGTCACAAAAGAAAAGAAAGAACAAACAAAGACATATTGAAGACAGGTATTTGTCACCTCTGCATCAATTTGAGCCAGCATCACAGTCTGAGGTTGTAGGAGAAGTCCGAAAAAACTACGTATCCAAGAACATGGACAGTGATGGTAAAAGCCCAATGCAGCAAGAAATTGAAGAAAACATGCCAACAGTTTCTTCACGAATAGGCCTTGAAATTAAAAAGCAAGGTGCAAAGTCTTCCATGGAGACACCTGTGCCACAGTTGTATGTCTCTGGTATGGAAAAGCACCTTGAAGGTAAAGCCCAAACCAGCCCAAGCTGCTGTCATAAAGAGTTGTTTGTCGTGCTTGAAAGACTTAAACCTGGAGCTCATCACTCTATACAAGCTGCAGTCAAGCCTTATGGCAAAGCTCAGAGTATGAGCACTACACCGAAAACTGGAAACAACACCTTTGATCACCTACTGATCAGCAAAAATATTGCCAAAAGAAAAAGTGAGGAATCTTCATCTGAAGCAGTCAACAATCCACGCCGTTCTGCAAAAAGAGAACTGTTCCAGAAATCTCCCTCGGATCAAGAGGAATCAGAAGTAAGCTTCACCCAAAAATTGATGACTTTGGAGCACCAACTTTTTGAGAGACATAAACAAGAAAAAGAGGATAGGTTGTTGGCGATACGACTTCAGAAGTCTGTGGATAAACAAGCAATGTATCCAAATCGGCAAAAAGGATCCCCAGATGGGTATCCTTTCCGATCTGCATCCTCATCTGCATCCAACTTGGTAAGAGAAGGGAAGTCCAAAAAAAAGTCCAGAAGATAAACTGACATAAGGTATTCAACAGATTAAAATGAGCACCCTTCTTTTAAGATCCAGGTGAAGTGGATCAAAAAAAGATACAACAATGACAAATTCTACTAGAGGTAATTATAATCTATCTAAAAGTGCTCATTTCTTACAGAAAAATGTTTTTCAAAAGTGTGAGAAATATACAAAGTAATACATGGGTAAAGGGAGTATTTTCTGATGTACTGAAGCTGTATTATGAAGCTGTCTGTTCTGTCAGAATCCTTAAAAATTTATGGTTTAAAGCTTTATAAAATTGTCATCTGTTCTGTAAGCAAACGCAGTCTTTAAAGGACCGTGTGATTACAGAGAATGTACAAATATGTTTCTGTAAAAGGGAGTAATAAGGATCCATATCATTTCTGTTATTAATAGCTGTTTTAGGTGTAACTTAGTGGCAAGGTGCTTGTCCAGTATCTGTGAGGTCTTAGGTTCAATCCAGGGCAAAAACATAGCAACAGAGTAAATGCCAGAGCTATGTTGCTGTCTTTTAAAAAAGCCACTCTGGGGCTGGAGAGATGGCTCGGTTGGCCCTGGGTTCAAGCCCCAGCAACACACACACATACACACACACACACACACACACACACACACACACACACACCCCTATTCTATTGTATTGCTAACAGCTGTGATTAAGTTTGATTCTTATGGATATAAAATATCTTTTACTTTTGTTCTCTATTCCCAATTCATTCACTAATTGTTACTTGTTAAAAAAAATTTTTTTTAAGAGCTTGTGAGTGTAATAGTGCTGGAGCACTTGCCTAGCTCTTATGAGGTGCCCTGGGTTTCTTCTCCAGCACAACCACCAATACGAACAAACAAAAAATAACACAATAGAAAAATGAAAATTTGCTGTGAGAGCATTATATCACAGTATTTTTTATGTTGTGAAACTTGAAACACAACTATGTGTTTATTTCCTTATAGTATCATTTATGTTGATATTGGACTTTTGTTTATAGACAGAAATAGAAAGCAAGATATTTGCATTTTGCCCTGTCTTATCCTGAAAATTAAATCAGAAGGCAGTGTTTTTGTTTTTGAAGTTTAACTTGGAGACTTTTTGATCTTTTGTTTAATTAATTTTAATTTATAGCAAACAGCTTTAACAGCATTTCTGCTGTTGTCCAAGCATACATCCTTTTGATGTAGAAATATGATAAAATGTCCTCAAAGTAGATCTAGCTTACATTTGTGTTTTTATATTATTAAAGTTTTTTCTTTGACTTGGGTAAATGAAATTGACAGATCTACATTTTTTTGGTGCATAATTATATAGGTACTGTAGGTTTTATTATATGAGTTATATTTGATAGATTGGATGAATATGTGAAGAATTCTATATTAATTTAAATTTTAGTTTTGCTTTTTCTCAGGAAAAAAAATGCATTGTATTGGTTGTGGTGATGTGATATAATCAGAAAGTAGGCAAGTTTGTCTAAAACTAAAGTCTGCTCATCAATTTTTTTCTAAGAGCTATTTTACTATATGTTTTAGAATAGACATTGTTGGAACTCCTCAAATTAAAAGGGTTATAAATCTTAGAATAGCCCATTGTGTTATGTATTTTTTATTTAACTAGGATATGTACTAGGATATGTACATTAACTCTTCATTTGTCCAAAAGAAGCCTTCCTGACTTAAGTTGATTCTAAGATAAACTTTAATTTCCCAATTAGTATGTATGACTTTTTGTTAATAATGAAATTTTGTTTTGATTATTAGAAGGTACTGCTATGTTTTCTTATTTTGTTGGAAGGCATGAAAATGTTTTCTCATAGTTATGCAAATGTTGTGAATCTGAAAATTAAAAGAATTATTAAAAATTAAAAACTTCTTATGTGTTCCTTGAGAGTGAAAAAACACTAATAATCCAGAACCAATTGTTATATCCTTTATAATTTGCTGCATCTCATTACTTAAAGTCGTGTATTAAAAATTAAAACCCATAGTTCTTACTCCTGTATTGGTAGATGGTAACAATTTTGGGTTAAGATTCTGACCTCCAGAATGGCTTGAACAAATTAATTAAAAAGACAATAAGCAATTTCATTTCAATCTCAGGAGAATTCAAAGAAAGGAAATTAACAAATATCATTTTTCACCTCTCAAAACAGCAAAGATGAATCAAAAAACAGCAAAGGTGTTTTTACAAGGAAAGACAAAATAGCAAAGTTCAGAAAAATTGCTGATGGGTGAGTTTGTGTAACTGTTATAGAGGCTTATGTAAAATACATATAGAGCCATACGTAGTGGTACTTGCTTGTATTCCCAGCCATTAGGGAGGCTGAGGGAAGAGAATCACAAGTTATAAGCCAGCCTTAGCAACTTAGAGAGGCCCTAAGTAATTTAGTGAGACCCTGTCTCAAAATAAAAAATAAAAAGGGCTGATGTGGTTTAGTGGTTCAGTGCCCCTGTATTCAATCCCAGTACCACAGAAAAAGCAAATAAGTAAATAAAAATAAAATACATATTCAAAGCCTTCATACTATTGTATACATATTATTTAACCTAAATAGTTCACTTCTTTACACTTTGCCTAAGGAAATAATTTAGGAGTCAAATGTTTTAGATATTTAGGATAGTTCCTGCAGCACTGTTTATAATAGCAAAAAAAAAAAGGTTCTAGAAAAAGCTTCATTGCACAGCAACAAATGGCTAATTATACAATGCATAATATATACAATAGTATGTATTAGATCTCTTAACTGAGCTTCACTTAACATACCCACAAAAGTTCCCAGGGCCCCCATTAGCCACCTAGACTCACCAGTTCCCACCATATTATAGGTAGTTATGAAAAATATACTGAAGGACCAGGTATATCTTTGGATGATATTACAATGTGCAGAAACAGGCTACTATAGTATAGCACTGGCTTGATCCCATTGAGTTAAATTGCATGCCTCTGAGAGAAAGCTGTTTGTTCCCAGGACTTTTTATGCCAGAGGTGAATGATATTGTGATTTTAATACAATTACATAAATTAATATAAAAAATTTTAAAACACTCTAGCTAATTCCAAGTCAGAGGCACATTTGTGACCTGGAACCCATACCAAAGGAGACTATTTTCATCTCGGGAACAGCATTTTCAAAGATTTCTTTTTCCTTCTATATAGTGTTTTGTTGTTGTTGTTGTTTTGATTTGTTTTTTTGGTCTCTTCCAAATTTGATCATGTTTTCCTCCCTTCGGGTAATAAACTGTCTTGTCTTGGCTGCAGATTAATAGGAATGCTGGCTGGGGTTGTAACTCAACGTAGAACACATGCAAGGCCCTGGTTTTGATCCCTAGCACACACACACAAAAAGTTTGGAATGCCTTCCTTTCCATTCCTAGGTGATGTTGTGATATTGGGTTTGAGCAAGTTACTTAACCTATATGTGCTTCAGTTTTCTGAGTGGACTAATCCTACAAAAGTTACAGAACCTGCCTCACAATGCTGATTGGATGAAATAAATAAGCTAATACATGTCAAGTACCGAGGGTGGTGCCTGCTCATTCAGCTATTATTTTAAAATCAGATATATCCTGCCCAACCCCTAGCACAGTGTGCTGAATAACTGTCTAATGAATGAAAGAATGAACAGACACTCCTGTGTTTCTTCATCTATGCCATATCTAAATACCTCCTGATGGAATTTTAAAACTAAATCTTCCCACAAGTCTTTGCAGATGCCATATCCTTTGTTGGATCCTTTCATTCTAATTTTTCATACACCCTCTGCTAAAAAAAGCTGAGAAGTAAATGGAATCAAATAGAGTCATGTAAGGTTGATGGGGTTTTAGATGACACAGGGGAATTGGTCAGGTTTAGAGAATGTCATCCAATTACCCTGGCAGGAAACTATATATTGATTGCTGCAGTATGAGTAAGAAAAGAATGTGTCCAACTGTATATAAAGGCATTCTGCCCTAATTCCTTTAGTAGATAGAGATGGAGGGCCAACATGTAGGTTCACAATTAATAGTTTTTAAAGTATTTATTGTTTAATAACTTTATCATCTCAGCCTCACCCAGCTGCTCTCATTCTGCTTTTCTGAATATCCTAAAAGCTGAATACATTCTCCTTGTATATGAAGGATAAAAAGCAATACTAAAACCAAATACACTTGATTGGCTTTCATTAGGCACTATGTCACTGCAGGTGGAGTGCTGGTTTGCAACAAGTGAGGTTTTCCTAGGGCTCCACACGGTAGTCTTTTCTCAAGCTCACAGGGACACTCATGGAGCTGAAATGCCGCTGCCCATCTAAATACAACATGGACTCTGAAACACAAGAAAGATAACCCTGGAGAAATTTGAAACATACTATAAAAGCATACAAACAAGACACTATTTGGGAACACTCAGGCAGCAGTAAGCATGCAAAACCAGCAATAGGGATGCAATACTGGGATGGACATGTGCAGCATTCCTAAAAAAACAGGTCATAACTCCCGTCCCTTTCCTTTGGCAGGACTAGGCTTTCACTACCAATGGTTGCTTGTCCGAAGATAACAAACAGGTGGGAAGAGCAGCAATAGCCACCTGAATACTATGGAGGCGTCTTTGGCCTTCATGGCTATAGAACCTCAAAAGCAAAATTTCTTAAGACATGCTCTTGGACTGACAAGCATTGTTGCACTTCCTATTACAATTTAAAAGAAGGCTGGGGATGTAGCTCAGCAGTAGAGCTCTTGCCTAGCATGTGTGAGGCCCCAGGTTCAATCCCAAGAATTGAAATTTTTTTTCTTTAAAATTTCTTCCTTTCATTAGGAAAAAGCAATAATCACTGCTTACCTCCATATGTTTTAGGGTAAACCAAGGGCACTTCTTTTTCTGACATGAATGTAAAATGAAAGACATTGGTGGTCATATGCTCTTTATTCTGAAGAGAGGCCACTTCACTGTGTACTCTGACTTGAATGTAATTGTTCTGAGTAAAGCATACCTAACAGATTAGAAATACTATAGTTAGTCAACTGCATTAAGAAGGGGAAGAAAGGCAATCATAAAAGAAACAATGGCTTCAGAATATAGAAACCTCTCTTAAGCCCAACTGACATTAAAAAAGCTTTTCACCTCTCACCTACCTGTGAAGAAAGAAAGAGCAATGAGCCAATTTCAACAGGCTTTTGAAACATGATATCATCCACTGCTACCACAAATGATCGGGAACCACTATTGGAGAAAAGTAGAATTTGGGTGAATTACAAAATTCAGATGATCTTGAATTTTCCCAACAAACAGAAGCAAAACAAAAATGAACAAAGAGGAGCTACAGTTCTGGCTCAGTGGTACAGCACTTGCCTAGCATGTATGAGGCACTGGGTTCATTTCTCAGCACCGTATATAAATAAATAAATAAAATAAAGGTCTGTCAACATCTAAAAATATTTTTAAAAAATGAACATAGAATAAATTTAGGGAAAGGGGAAATCATCACACCAGTGATGAATGGTAAGAGATGCCAATTCAACCACATAGGGCCAAAATCACTATCTTTACCCTTTTACATGTTATTGCCATATTTTCTCAGGTCTTTAATGCACTAATTTACTAATTCAGGGCAACAGCCTTCTTAAAATGAAGGTCATGGGCTGGGGTTGTGGCTCAGTGGTAGAGCACTTGTCTAGCATGTGTGAGGCACTGGGTTTGATCCTCAGCACCACATATAAATAAAGGTATTGTGTCCCTTTACAACTAAAAAAATATTTTAAAAAAATGAAGGTCAAACTCAGCTGGTATCAGTGTGGTATTCATTTGAAAACAACAAAATAGATTCTACTGCCATGTATAACTAAAAAGAACAAATTTAAAAAGTTTTAATGTTAAAAGAAACATTTCTGGGCTGGAAATGTAGCTTAATGGTTGAGTGCTTGCCTAACACGTGCAAATCCTTGGGTTCAATGCCTAGCACCACAAATAAGGAAATGAAAAGATATAATATATTCCTAAATATATCCAGACTGGTTCAAAATGTTTCTTTTCAGTGGGATGGTGTTATGGTTTGGATCTGAAATGTTACCCTGCTATGAAATGTTACCTGCTATGGTTTAGATATGAGTTGTCCCCCAAAATCTCATGAGAGAAAAAGCAATAATGTTCAGAGGTGAAATGATTAGATTTTGAGAATTGTAACCTAATCAATGGATTTATCCACTGATATGGATTAGCTGGGTGGTAACTGTAGGCAGGTAGCTGAATGGGCTATCAGGAAATAACTATAGGCAGGGGAGGTGTGGCTGGAGGAGGTAGGTCACAGGGGCATGCCTTTAGGGTTTATATTTTATC